GTATGCACTGAAGATGTTGCCTAGTAGGGCGATGAAAGCTTCGCAAATAAACGATCCAGCTCAGACAACACAATTACAACAAAGGTTTTAGTTTTCAAAGGTAACTGTAGTGGAATTTGTAAATTTAAAATTTGTGTACAGCAAATTACATTATTTTTCACATTATTCGGTAGCGATAATCAGTTTGTGATCTCAGCAAATGAAACATAAATTAGTAATTACATTCTATAAGTCTAAAATATATTTTTCATGCAAATACCAACTCCAATCCACAAAACTATTTTAAAATATATTTGCCTACTCACAAGTAGTAAGAGTTAAAGGAAGAAACTTTTGGGTGTCATTTAGACAGATAAGATTGATTTTAAAGAATATGTTCTTAAGTTTATACAGTATATTGACTTTTAAAACATCTTGGCATATTTTCTAAGGAAATATAAAGCTCTGAATATCATTTCCATAGAATCATTGAAGTCAACGAGAACTGCGAGTTTAACTTTCAGCAGTTTTATAACCCCTAACACTGTAATTTACCCAATAAGGAACTATTATGTATCAGAGTAGCCAACTTTTACTACTGCATTTATGATGATAAGTAATAAAGATGAAAATAACAATCATTTTATTCTAAACAGGAATTTTTAAACAGGATGGAATTTCTACCACTTTTAACATTGCAAACTTAATTACTACTTTTACAGACAAATTCAGAAGAATATATAAGGGAGATCTCCTTAAATCCCTGGGCTACGTAACTTTTCCACCTACCAAAGTGCATTGTATTAACTCCGTTTCATATTATTTTGGTCACCTGATTACCGAAATTATTTGCGATCTATGCTGACGCACAATTTCAAATACGTTTCTACCTATAGCTAGGAACTTTTTCAAAGGAATTGGATGAAGAACATTGTGGAGCAATATTGAAGAGCCATTTGGACGAAAAAATGTTGCATCAGATAACATATTATCGATTATTATACTATTTGGAGATTCTATAGAAGGAGTAAATACCTTGTAATGAAACTCGCTGAAAATTTCATATTGCGTATAAGCTCATTTTTCAGAAAAAAGCTATTATTATCTCCCGTTTATGCCAGAAACGGAAAGGCAAGATACGCCTTCATCAACCTGAAACCAGTGTAGAAATCTTCTGCACTCCACCTCAGCATAAATAACAAGATTCCGATTTTCAACACGCATGTGAAGTCAGCCAGTTCTTCTAGACAGGTCAAAAACTTGCACTGAGCGTCACGAAACGGATTTCTAACAGGTCACTGCAGAATTTTATCAACAGCTGCATTCGCAGGCTCCATACTGAAGATCAAATGACCGGCTGGACAGAAGGAACTAGCAACAAGAAACTCTGGCCTGGAACAAACCAACCAGGAGCCGATTTCTCAACAAATATGTAGGAGAAAATGGATATGGGTCAGGCGTACTTTGAGGAGGCCGTCGAATGACATCGCGCTCAATGCGGGCCACCACTAGAGTAGAACCCCAATGGAAGGCGACAAGTGGTCATCCAAGGATGACGTGGAGGAGATCATGTGAGGAGGAAATGAGGGGTTATGGGCAGTCTTAGACCCAGCTGAAGAGGACAACATCAAACAGAAGAATGTGGAGATGTGTTGTTGAAGCCCTATGTCTCATTCGGAACCCAAGTGTGTAACATTAATAATATTATCTCCTGTTTATGCTAACTAACTGATTCAGGGTTAGTCGTTTGATTGACGTTTGTAGGCATCACTGCCCGTTACTCTTACCTTATACAAATGAAACTACACAGTGAAGTTAACAGAATTTCAGTATTGCTAATAATAATTCCAGAAATAAGTAGCTGTTTATTTACAGATTATAAAGCAGGTGTTTTTTTCTCCTACTCGTCTCCTCGCATAACACCGGTGTTAAACAGGGTGTAAGTGAATTGTGATATTCAACCACACAAGCATAAATTCTTTTAAAATTACTTCTAAACTTCTCCTGAAGAGATATACAAGGAGAATGTTGTGATTAAAGAGGGTGGTAGTTAGTATCCGACAAGTGATTCTCAGCAAACGGCTTGCACGAATTTAAATGTCTGTCAATAGTTATTATTATTGTTCCCTTGGGTTCCTAGTGGAACATAGGGCTTCAACTGCACGTCTCCACTTGCTTCTGTCTTCTGCTATACTTTTCACCTGCATCCATGTTACTCCATACTGTTTCAACTCCTCTTCACACGATCTCCTCCATGTCACCCTTGGACGTCCCAATCACCGCTTCCCTTTCAGGTTCGACTCAAGCACTGGCCTGACACGCGATGTCACCCAGCCGCCTCCTCAGCTCAGCAAGTGTCCAATCCATCTCCCTTTTCTCCTGCATATTTGTTCAGCGATTGGTTCTTGCTTTGTTTGTTCCCATAGTTTCTTGTTGGTGATTCTTTCCGGCCATCTAATCTTCAGTATAGAGCCAGCGAAGACAGTTGTTGATAAAGGTCTGCAACAGGCTGTTGGAAATATTCTTTGTGACCCACCGTCAAGTTTCTGATCCGTATAGAAGAACTGACTGACTTGACGTTTGTATTGAAAATCCGAATCATTTGTTGTTGATGCAGATTGGTTTCAGGTTGATGAATGTGTTTCTCGCCTTCCCGATTCTCGATTTGACATCCTCGTCCGTTCCTCCTGTAGTTGAGACAATGCTCCCTAGATAAGTGAATGAAGTAACCTTTTTCAAATCCCTCCCGTTGATGGTGATTGGCACTGGATGTTGCTGCTGCTGTTGTTGGTTTGTGGTTATTTTCATAACCTCCGTCTTGTCTATGTTCACCTGGAGTCCTGTCTTCTTGCTGCTTCTTCGACCAGTTTGTCGGTTTTCGCTTGTAAGTCTTCGATTTTGTGTGACATCAAACATAAATCATCCACGCGCGAAATCCAGGTCTTCTAGGTTCTTCACGTGATATCCGTGTCTTCTCGTTTCCCACTGTCTGACGCATAATCCAGTCCACCACAATTAGGAATATCATGTCTGTCAATAATAATGCCAGTTAATTGATTCAAAGATTCAACATTAATCTTGCTGATAGCCTTCAAAGTTTTATGCATTATGGAGTCGTCTGATTTCAGAATCACAGAAAGGTAAATAAGTGTAATACATGAGTTAGTAAACTAACCAAGAAGAGACTGAGCTATGCCATAAGATTTCAACTTCTTTTTAACGTAAGTCAAAAAAGTGTTTTTTCTGAATAAGAAATATATGGGACAACCAACAAAAATAACAGAATGTTGGACGGTAAATTAAGTTTGACTTGATTTATTCTCAACAACAATAACATCATAGATATTACCAGAACATTGTTACTGAAACAATTTACGCAAGTCTTTTACACGTCTGAAACTGAAATTAGGATTCTGTCATTTCGCGGGATTCAGTCTGGAGTTAATTTAATGAGACCACTGGTCAATTTCAAATAAGAACCTATTCATATCAGAACACACTAATACATTGACAGCCGGAACAAAAATTTTGAAGTCACCAAAATATTATCATACAAACAAAAAGAAAACAGAAATGAAGGAAGTAAAGCATTCTGACCCATATCAGCTGCAGTAAGCGTTGAATTAGACAGATCGAGGGAACTCTGGCCTTTGCAATAAGTGAGAAGTCCACCACTTTGTGACTCAGGCCTCAAGACATGCTGAAATCGACTTCCTCGACAAAATACAAATCACAAGCAGTGCTGTAGTCTAATGAAGGCAGAAAGGACACATTTAGCACCTTTATTTAGACCGAAGACAATAATGTGATGCAATATAATGACAGCATCTAAAGTAATGCTAATGCAAATTTTTTTAAAGTAACCAAAATATTTAACGGAGGCTTAAACACAGATTAGTGTAATTTTTCCAAAGTTTACAAAAACGGTTGGATGCAATGACGATTAGCCTAAACCTTAAATCAGGTCGTGAAGATTAAAACAGTTGACAGTGGTCGTCATCAGAATAGTTGTGCTATTTCTCTTGTCTAATGGTTTTAGTTTCACACCCATGAAATGAACACTAGTAACAAATAAACTAGCAGATTCAGAGCTATCCTTTTTGACACATTTATTTATTCTGGCTTCAGTTGTTATTGTTGAAACCTGAGACTTAATCAACTCCCTTTTTTGATAGAGATGTTTTGAACATACTCTGGTGAGACCGTTGAGTGACGTCACGCACCAGGACCAAAATGGGAAACGACCAGTAAGGCTGCCAAGGTTGAAATAGAAGATGGTCATGTGAGGAGGAAATGAAAGCTTATGTGGAACCATAAAGGCGGCTATGAAAGACAGCGGAGGAGAGACTGGAACGCAGATGTGCTGCTGAAGACTTGGAATTCACTTAGAATATATAAATTTATCAACATGGTACGAAACTGACAGAGGGTTTAGCCTTACAAAAAAGGAGATCATTATATAGAATAATAAAGCACAATATATGAATATTTATTCTGTAATAAAAATAATAATATATTTTGTTTATTTCTAACAAAAATATAAAAAGGGGAGAGGTGGAAGAGCCCCTTAAATACGACTTGTGTGGCAACAGGATTCAGAATTGCAGAGTTCCACTCCAACCTACACTAACATGTAACTTTTCCTTTCACTTCTGAAAGATGACTTGGTTGTAGGAGACGAAATCAACTTCCTGTGCGTCGGTGGCACAGTGGTTAGGACACTCGCCGACCATGCTCATGGTCCGGGGTTCGATCGCCGACCGACGCACTCCTTTACCTCGCCAAACCAGTAATAAAAAAGCCGCTAAAGAGGAAAAGTTGGGCATGAGGCTAGCAACCTCATCCTGTAAAAGTAAACACTGTGACAGAAACTTCAAGCCTCTAGCTTGAAGCCCTATGTTCCACTGAGAACGTGAAGGAAACAAAAGGATATACATCGGGCGATAAAAATTATTTTTAAAGAAATGATTATTAAACAATCTAGTCAGCATAAACACTAAGCACTAACTACTGCTGCATAATGACATAACCAAGTAAATATGAATCTACCTTCGAACAGCTTTGCCCTGTGGTAGAACAACACAATCTTCAATAGCACGCATTATCAATTCAAAATCCATTGTTTGAATAGGTCTTAGGTGTACGCGTATAGCTGGTGTAAATGTATCACCATTCCGATAAACACTAAGAAAGAAAAAAAGGCAATATTTTAAAAAAACAATATTATTATGCTATATAATTCATTAAAATAACATGTCCATTTTCTCTAAATATTTCTGATATATATATATAATCAGTTATTAATTTGAAACTGTTTATCCCCTTTTCGGTTTGTCAGTGGTAAAGTACTCTTAACCCACGCAAGTAGCTCGAGTACGATTTATAGATGACGCCTTCTTATACCTCCTGACTTACTAGCCGAAATTCACCGCAGTCTCGTTTGGAAACTAGAAATATTTGATCTGTTTGATATTACAAATGACAGCCAAGAAAACAAACGTTCGAAGTACAAAGTGAGAATAATAAATACAATAATTTTTTTGATTACAGTATTGTACAAGTATGGAATTTTCAGCATGGATATCGGTAGCCCAAATTTTGCAGCCATAATATCGGGTGTGCGTCGGCGGGGATCGAACCCCGAACCATGTGCATGGTCGGCGAGAGTTTTAACCACTGACGCACAGTGAGTTTGTTTCAAACGGTATTCTCAATTCACTTTGAAAATTTTAGCATGTTACAGATTATTGAATCTAATGTTCTGTTGATATAGTATGGTGAGGGGAAGGACGAAAAATAACAGTTATTACACAGCTTAAAAGATATTTACACTTATGAGAAAATAAACCACAAAAAATGCAGAGGATTATAAATATAAGAAGTACAATAACAATAAAGCTTGATGTTATAAGGGTGAAAGTAATGGTTTATTTAATAGTACAAAGAAGGTTAGTTAGTTCATGCCTAACACTATATTCATCACTTAAAGTACGTGCCAAATATGGTATAGCGGAATTTTTGTACTTAGACGTACGTGCATAAAGTCTTTTGAAAAGACTTCTTGTTTTACCTGAGAAGACACAAGGTTGGAGCTGCGGTTTAGTAAACAAGGTTGCTCACAGTCTGACAAAATTCCTTTTGCAAATTTATTGCATGACAACAAGTGCCTATCAATGACAATGTCAACGATATGGCCCAAGGGGATACCACTCGTCCTACTGACAGTCTTCAGCGTTCTACGAAGTATGACATGGTCTTTTTTAAACAATCCAGGAAAGAATAAGGGTGAACAGTAAAGAAGAATAGGTAAGATGCACGAGTTGACAAACTGTAAGAGGAGGGGTTGAGTTATGCCTGAGTGCCTTAACTTCTTAATGTAAAAAGTCAGACGAAATATTCTTTTGGAAATCGCTAAGACATGGGAAGACCAGTATAGGTCAGTAGAAAGAATTAATCCAAGATAATTAACTTCATACTTGATTTATATATCACTGTCATCAATTTTGCAACGGTCATAGGAACCAACAGCTTCATTTAACTTTCTTTTACATCGGAAACTGAAATTAACAGCCTGACATTTGGAAGGATTTAGTTTAAGACCATTAGACGAAGACCATTTGCTAACTCCTGATAGAAAGCTGTTCATCTTAGTACAGTCTAGCTGGGAGTTAACAGACATTGAAATAGTTAGATCGTCCGCATACTTAACAAAGTTCATTTCATCAGAGTGAGGCAAGTCATGCAAGAAGAAAGAAAACAGAAAAGGAGAAAGGACAGCGCCTTGAGGGACACCAGCCTCAGTAAGCAATGAAGTGGACGACTTTCCCTGACATACAGTGTACTGCTTACTTCCTGAGAAATAAGAATGCAGCCATTTGACAACCCAACAGTCAGTTTGAGTTTCAGCAAGCTTGTTTAACAAAATATCACTGGGTACTGAGTCGAAAGCAGATGTGTAACCTAGGAAGGTGCATCGAACAAATTTAGCCCCCTTGTCTAAACTGGAGACAATCTTATGACGCAAGACTGCAGCTGCATCTAAAGTACTTCTACTATGTTTGTAGGCGAATTGTTTTGGATCATTAAAGGCTTTAAGTGAAGGTTGAAGATTATGTAAGAGTAACTTTTCCATAGTTTTTAGAAAAGGAGAGGTAATGGCAATAGGTCTAAATTTAAAACATGTTCCAGTAGATGACTTGATTAGATGACGTGATAGTGTACTGCGCCGATTGGTTGATATGAGCAGCTGGAGACGACTGACATCAAACAGTAGTGTTTGCTAGGTAAATCGAAGTAACCTATATACTGGTATCACCACTGTTTGACAACAGTGGCTTTTATCTACTCATATCATTCAGTAGTATATACTCTAATAAAATTTATTTTCGTTGTATATTTTAGATTGTTCTTATCTTATGATTCCCCTTTTGAGCGAAAAAGCAATTGTATCGGTTCTTGTAGATAAACGAACTTATATACTACTACTACTACAGGTATCAATGTATTCCCCTATTAGTTTAAATCAATGAGCTTTTTCCTTTAGGTAACAGCTTTTTCAAGCCACCATGTATACAGATATATATATATACATATGTGTTCATTTCAAACACTTCATGTCTTATAAAACGATGAATACTTGTTTTAAATCTAAGTGGAAAGTCGTCAGTGCTACAGGTACATTCAGTTGATGTGCACTGGTAGTTCAGAGAGAGAATGCTCGCCAACCAAACATGTGATCCTGGGTTCAACTCCTGGCCGACGCACTCTTTATGCTTCGCTGAACCAGTAGTAAGCCCGAGTGGAGAGGGAAGGTTGAGAAAAAGGGGCTAGCAATCCCACCCCTCATAAATATAAAACCACACGCTACTGAAGCTTCACAGTTCAAGCTTGAAGACAGATTTTCCAATTGAAACGTAAACGAATAAAATAAATTATTACTATTATTGTTCCCTTGGGTTCCTAGTGAAACATAGGGCTTCAACTGCACGCCTCCACTTGCTTCTGTCTTCTGCTGCACTTTTCACTTGCATCCATGTTAGTCCATACTGTTTCAGCTCCTCTTCACACAATCTCCTCCATGTCACCCTTGGACGTCCCACTCGCCACTTCCCTTTCACATTCCACTCGACGGCCTGACGCGCAATGTTACCCAGTGGCCTCCTCAACGAGTGTCCAATCCATCTCCACTTTCTCCTGCATATTTGTTGAGCGATTGGTTCTTGTTTTGTTTGTTCCCATAGTTTCTTGTTGGTTCTTGTTCTTTCCGGCCATCTGATCTTCAGTATAGAGCGAATGAAGACAGTTGTTGATAAAGGTCTGCAACAGGCTGTTGGAAATATTCTTTGTGACCCGCCGTCAAGTTTCTGATCCATCCGTATAGAAGAAGTGACTGACTTGACGTTTGTATTGAAAATCCGAATTTGTTGTTGATGCAAGCTGAGTGAGTGACGAAGATTTCCCGATTGGTTTCAGGTTGATGAATGTGTTTCTCGCCTTCCCGATTCTCGATTTGACATCCTCGTCCGTTCGTGCTGTAGTTGAGACAATGCTCCCTAGATAAGTGAATGAAGTAACCTGTTTCAAATCCGTCCCGTTGATGGTGATTGGCGCTGGATGTTGCTGCTGTTGCTGTTGTTGGTTGGTTATTTTCAGAACCTCCGTCTTGTCTATGTTTACCTGGAGTCCTGTCTTCACTGCCTGCTTCTTCGACCGGCATTCAGTTGATCAGTCCTAACTAGCATGAAGTGTATGTGTTGAACTGTCTATTATTAGCTGTCACATAATAAAGACCCGCTACAGAAACAATTTCTGTTTTTCATTTAGTTTAATCCGTCAACTTAGAAGCCTTACTTTCAGCAGCATGAATTTCGACTTTATGACAACATTTAAAGAAGTGTAGGACAGGATCTGTGATATAGTTTTAAAACACCTACGGCAATTGTATCCCCTATATGAGTACAAGACCAAGTCTAAATTACTTTGTACTACTACTGTATACTACACTGTAATCTGTCAAATAAACTTATGTAGAGTTATGGCCTTATTTCACTATTCAACTGTTAACATTTAAGAACTCTAAGTCAACTCATAAAGTTACTGGTTTGTAGTGAATAATTAACCTGCTGAAACATGATTATTGGTGTGAAGAGAGAAAAGTGAAGGCTGAGGATTGGCACATTGTATATCAATTTGATGGAATCATGATTGGATTCTGTGATTTACTGCTGTTTTGATTAAATGAATCTCTGTCGGTATAAGAACGATTTTATATTATTATCTCCAATATTATCATTGGTACTCATTTTGACATCAGTATGATATTGATGACGTATTTCTTCATTTTCACTAACTGTCAGTCAGTCAGTCAAATGCACCTAAGTAAATAATGATTGTATCCAGTTCTTCTGGCTCAGAATGTTAAACTGTTAGCCACTTAGTTAGTGAGTTATCGTCGAGATAACTTTATAAAGGGGCTCAAATGTTAGTTGATGCTTGTCACTTATATCCGAAAAGAATGAAAACGAATAAAACTAAGTATTGTTTACTTAATACCTAGTGAATTCCATTACTCGGAAGTAGAGCGGGTAATGTTTCGAAATTTGAAGAGAGTGGCACTGATTTTGAGTCCGGCACACACAGTTTGTCAGCTTTTGTCGACCCCTTTCAGTGAGTTTATGTCAAGTTTATGTCATCATCGAACAAAGCATGGAATGGCAATCAAACCTCTACCTCAACTTCCTTGATAGACTTTGAGAAAGCCTTCGACAGCGTTGACCGCGAGGTAATTTGGAAACTACTCGAGTACTACGGCCTACACCAAATATTCATCAACCTCATTCAACAGCTGTACGATAACGGCACATGTCAAGTGATCCACAACGGAAAACTCAGCGAAGCGTTTGGAGTAAAAACAGGAGTCAGACGAGGGTGCTTATTATCACCAATAATATTCCTAATTGCGGTGGACTGGATTATGCGTCAGACAGTGGGAAACGGGAACACAGGAATATCCTGGACCGACGTGAAGAATCTACAAGACCTGGATTTCGCAGATGATTTATGTTTGATGTCACACAAAATCGAAGACTTACAAGCAAAAAGCGACAAGCTGGTCGAAGAAGCAGGCAGTGAAGACAGGACTCCAGGTAAACATAGACAAGACGGAGGTTCTGAAAATAACCAACCAACAACAGCAACAGCAGCAACATCCAGCGCCAATCACCATCAACGGGACGGATTTGAAACAGGTTACTTCATTCACTTATCTAGGGAGCATTGTCTCAACTACAGCACGAACGGACGAGGATGTCAAATCGAGAATCGGGAAGGCGAGAAACACATTCATCAACCTGAAACCAATCGGGAAATCTTCGTCACTCACTCAGCCTGCATCAACAACAAATTCGGATTTTCAATACAAACGTCAAGTCAGTCACTTCTTCTATACGGATGGATCAGAAACTTGACGGCGGGTCACAAAGAATATTTCCAACAGCCTGTTGCAGACCTTTATCAACAACTGTCTTCATTCGCTCTATACTGAAGATCAGATGGCCGGAAAGAACAAGAACCAACAAGAAACTATGGGAACAAACAAAACAAGAACCAATCGCTCAACAAATATGCAGGAGAAAGTGGAGATGGATTGGACACTCGTTGAGGAGGCCACTGGGTAACATTGCGCGTCAGGCCGTCGAGTGGAATGTGAAAGGGAAGTGGCGAGTGGGACGTCCAAGGGTGACATGGAGGAGATTGTGTGAAGAGGAGCTGAAACAGTATGGACTAACATGGATGCAAGTGAAAAGTGCAGCAGAAGACAGAAGCAAGTGGAGGCGTGCAGTTGAAGCCCTATGTTTCACTAGGAACCCAAGGGAACAAGAATAATGATAATAATGTCAAGTTGCAGAAATTCAAAGAAAAGTTCAACAATTATCTGCATTTATAGCACTGTCCATACTTCTGAAACAGCTGTAATGACTGTAAAATCCACTCTGACAATATCGAATGTATTTGACACCATGTATTAGAGCGGGTTTGTTAAATAGCTGTAAACATCACAGCAGTTATCACAGAATGAAATTACCTGAAAATTTCTTTGAAATTCAAAGATTTTTAGTAGAATGTTATATTCTGCTTAGATGCCTTTTAGCAATGCGCCCACTCAACTTGCTCACCTGCAGTCTTCCGATAGGTACATCATCATCGAACTGCTTGATCACAGCACAACAGTCAATGCTTTCCACAAATTATTTTCCATTCGCCATATACTGTGTAGCCGTCGTAAATTAGCTCGACATTTTAGTTTTAATAAATTTTATTTTCTATAGTTGGTTTGTAAGGATTAGTTTTGTTTTTACAAGTTGATCACGGATTGATATCAGTTAGAGAACCATTGAAAACCAGGGAGTACTGGACAGCTGTTTCATCCTAGTTTGGGAATCATCGGCAGTACACACCCACTGCCAGCGTTCGAACCCAGGACCTTCCGGTTACAAGGCAAGCTAGTAACCTGATTCAATGGCTCATGGAATCTAACTTCTACCATTGAATCAGGTTCCAGTGGCTGAATGGTATACGAGCTTGCCTTGTAACCGGAAGGTCCTGGGTTCGAACGCTGGCAGTGGGTGTGTACTGCCGATGATTCCCAAACTAGGATGAAACAGCTGCCCAGTACTCCAGTGCTGGTTTTCAATGGTTCTCTAACTGATATCAATCCATGATCAACTCCTAAAAATAAATTTTATAACAGAATTCTTCAGTTTTGATATACTTACAATATCACTTTAACATTTCGTCCAAATCCATCCGATATTCTACCCATTTGACTGCGAAGTCGAATATGCCGTTTTCGCCAATACTGAAATGAAAATTCAAAAAAAAAACACATCCAAAACCCTTGAGTAACACACAGAAAGAAATATCAGTTTCAAAGAAAGAATGTTGACGAAAATTTATGTCTATTTGAAAGTCTGCATTAGTTGAAGTTCATCAGTAAGGAATATTTCAAGCTATTAAAATGTTGATTTTCATTCAAACATTCTTAGAGAGTCTGTGGTGTGATTGGATTAATTTACCGTGGACTAAGAAAAAGACTCTGTAGAGGACCTGAATTTTGCGGATGATTTATGCCTAATGTTACACAAACTCAAAGATATGCAGGAGAAAACCAACAAGTTGGCAGAAGTAGCAGGCAGTGAAGACAGGACTCTAGGTGACCATAGAGAAGACAGAGGTGATGAGGATAACCAGCCAACAGCAGCAACAACAACAACGGCACCAATCACTATCAGAGGGAGAAATTTGAAGAAGGTCACTTCCTTCACTTATCTGGGCAGCATTGTTTCAACTACAAGCGACACAAATGAAGAAATCAAGGCCAGTGAGGATCAGGAAGGTAAGACACACCCTCACTACCATGAAATCAGTGTGGAAGTCTGCTGCAATCTGCATAAGGAATTCGATCCGAATCCTCAACACTAATGTCAAATCAGTGCCTCTGTATACTTCAGATATTTAGCGTTCAGGTTACGCAATGCATTCACAACAGGCTGCAGACTTTTATTAAGAGCTACCTTCTCTACCTACTGAAGACCAGATGACTGGAAAGGATATGCAAGTGACAAGAAAGTCTGGCGATGAACCAATGAATAACCTATCGCCTAAAAAATATACAGATAAAAATGAAGACAGGCTGGTAATAAACTTAAAAGACCGTTGAGTAACATCACCTGTCGAGCAGATCCTCGAGTGGGAATGATGAATTGGGTGCGCATCTGAATGGGGGATATGGCGCGCAATTATGCTCCTGTCTATTCCAAACAATATACTAAGCCGTACCATCCTGGAGAGAATCAAACATGCTCTGGATGAAAAACTTCGACCGGAACAGGCTGGATTCAGAAGAAACAAGTCACGCATTGATCAAATCGCCACACTACGGATCATTATTGAACAAAGCTTAGAATGTCAGTCACCTCTCTATCTCAACTTCATCGACCTTGAAAAGGCCTTCGACAGCGTCGATCGAGAGGTGCTTTGGCAACTACTTCGCCACTACGGGGTGCCACCGACAATAATACATCTCATCCAGCAGCTGTACGACAATGCCGCATGCCAAGTAATCCACAACGGGAAACTTACGGAATCCTTCGAAGTGAGGACAGGAGTAAGACAAGCTGGCTGCCTACTATCGCCAATGATTTTCCTGATTGCAGTAGACTGGATAATGCGACAAACAGTGGCGGGCAATGAGGAAACAGGCATAAAATGGACACACACAAAAAACTTGGAGGATCTGGACTTCGCCGATGATATATGTCTGAGTTCCCACAAACTGGAAGATATGCAAGTGAAAAGCAACAAGTTGGCAGAAGAAGCATCAAAGATAGGACTTCAGGTGAACATAGAGAAAACAGAGGTAATGAAGATTCCTGGACAAGAACAACAACAACAGACAACGATCAGCATAAATGGGAGGAACCTGAAAGAAACAACCTCCTTCACCAACCGACCTGGGAAGCATCGTTTCAACTACAGGCAGACGGAACTGACGAGGATATCAAAGCAAGAATCGGAAAAGCAAGACAAGCTTTCACTACTCTCAAGTCTGTGTGGAGGTCAACAGCACTCAGCATCAAAAATAAGATCCGGATTTTCAACTCCAATGTGAAGTCAGTGCTACTCACTATTCGGATCAGAGACTTGCACTGCGCGTCATAAAGAGCATCTCAAACAAACTACAGACCTTCGTTAACAGTTGTCTTCGCTCAATACTCAAGATCAGACGGCCGGTCAGAAAAGATCAGCAGCAGGGATCTCTGGCAATAAGCGAACCAACCAGCAGGAATCGATTGTGAAACAAATAGGCAGGAAGAAATGGAGATGGATTGGCTGGCCGTACTTTGAGGAAACCATCAAGTGACATCACTAGACAAGCCATTGCTTGAGTGGAACCCGAAAGGGAAATGGCGAGTTGGTCGTCAGTGCAAGGGTGACTTGGAGGAGGTCATGTGAAGAGGAGATGAAAACATGTGGGCAGACATGGAGCCAGGTGAAGACTCTAGCAGAGAACCGAACGCAATGGAGACGCACGACTGAAGTCCTATGTTCCTCTAGGTATTAAAGGAAACAATAATATAATAATAATACTTGGCCAGTTGGCACAGACTTTAGGGAATAAAGTGAAACGAAACCGGGCTGAACTGAAGCTAAATGCTCCACTCCGAACGTGAGAGAATACTAATATTGCACTAATTTTAGATACCATGCGTGAAAACGCAGTTGAAATTTACAACAACTATCAGCATGCCACCTACTTTTTGAAGCATAGAAATTTTTTATTCTGCTATTTCTGGGTTCTTTCAGTCGAGCGTTTTAATCGCGGAACTTCCAATTTCTTCTTAAATAATACTAACTTTAAGATGAGAGGGTCTTTCCATTTCTTCATTGATGTAGTAACTGTCACTCCTGATTAATTTAAAATTGATTAGCTATCTGCGGAATTTCGATTATCCTGTTGATAACTTTTGTTGCTTTATTTATTTGGCTAACCCTTATATTCAACCTGTTCTTTATCACCTGATAACTTTGATCTCTAGCAACAGAAGTGAGCCAAAGGGTGACGAAACATTGGAAGACAACCTCTTGCATCTTAAAGTTGAAACTGAACATGTTGTCTGAAGAGGCAATGAAACCTCCCCAGTCAAATCACGCAGCTCAGATAAGGTGACAGCACCGAAATAATCCACATGACTTGGATATCTTCCCTATCACTTTAGATACGTTGTTTAACATAGCAGATAATTGGTCCTGAACTGAATATTTTGAATTGTAGCCAGACTGCAGCATGTGTAGTCCTGGTTACTTACTAACTATTTAATATAAAGTCAAGGTCTGATTGGCGACATCAACTTTCTGATATCAATAATTTACACAAATTCTCTTTAAGATCAACAAGTGACGTAATTTAGCAGCACAGCTGAGGTAAATCTAATGTAAATTTTGGTACAAACTGATATCAGTTTTATAACAATTGAAAACAAGCACCGACTAGACAGCTGTTTCATCTTAGTTCATCAGTGAGTACCTATAACTTCCCTAGGCGCAAAGCCTAGAACCTTCACGTTATAAGGACAACGAGATGACCGTTCAGCTTCTGGGTAAGAGATCAGTGACCATCATGACAGGGTAAACTGGACTCCCATCGATGGTACTGGCTAATAGTAATGCTACTTCGTTAAATGATAGAAGTCAGAATTCACGTATCATTGAATTCTGACCTAATGGCTGAATAGTCAATAGGTTGACTTTGTTACTTGAAGATCCTTGAGTTGATCGCCGATAGGGTTGTGGGTTTTCACTGTTGTAGGGCCCCTAACTAGGACAAAACAGCTGTTCAGTCAGAGCCGTTTGGTTTTCAAATATTGTCGGTTCATAAGGAAGTCTAAACAGAAATTAATAATAATAATAATAATTTGCTTTATTCCAAAACAGTACTTGTGATACAGAATGGAATTCTCAGCATTTTTACTACAGTATTGCATCCAGTTTGTACATTATCAATAAATAGAATTCTACATAGATTGAGGAAACCGCAGTTCATTATTACAACAATACATTGGCATGTCAGTAGCAAAGGTAAAGCTGAAACAGTGTTTGAAGGTGTTAGAAAAGTGGGAGCTGTCTTATTAACTGGCGTAAGCGAGAGAAAGAGACAAAGCAGCACATAACGGAAAAAGAAGAGAGAGAAAAGGAACAGAAAGAAAGAAAATGTTGTACCTATTGGTGAAGTGGGTTGGAAAGATGAGATCCAGTTGTACTAATGACTATTTAATGAATTATAGGTGTCACGCCTGATGCTTTCTTTATCACACAGAACACGAGCTAAGTAGGGTATGGTTGAGTTTTTGTATTTGCTGGTGCGAGCATATAGTTTTCTATATTGGCTTCTAGTTTTACCTGATGAGATGCAAGGGGAGAGTTGTGAGTGAAGAGGGTGGTGTGAGTTAGATAAGATGGATTTGGCCCATTTTTCACATGAGTCAATGTGCCTGTCAACCAAAATATTAACAAGCTGGTTAAGTGGCAAATGCGATTCCCCACAAAAATTATCAGTTGGATTAATTATAATAACTTCTTTGTCAAACTCTGCAGTTATAAAGCCATGAAATTTATCACATGATAGTCATTAAAGGTGAGGATAAAGGTTGTTAGAAATAGTGGTTTGCCGTATAAAAGTAAAAGGCACAATAATAGGTAGTCGGCTTTGATGGTGTTTTAAATGAATGTGAAAACCAATTACCCAATCAAGGATATAAGAAATAATGATTTAATGATATGTTCGTGAAATTTGAAATTCAATTTTCATGCGGTAACCTATAATTGGTGGAAGGAGAGATGATTTGAAAGGAATACACGAATATTAGTTTGTTTATTTGATATATCACACAGTGAAACAGTATTATTTACTGGATGACGTTTCGAACAAAATTTATTGTTCATAATCATATCAATTATAAACGTCATCCAGTAAATAATACTATTTCATTGTGTGATATATCAAATAAACAAACTAATGTGGAATTACTTACTACCACAGTGCCCAAGTTTTACACATATATGAATAGACGAATATAATAAGCTTAATGTCATTTGAAAGGATGTCAAGTAATAATAATAATAATTTCATACATTTGTTCCCCTTAATGAATTTGAACAAAGCAACAACTACAGATTTAGCAGAATAAAATGGTACCATATTTTATTTCGTCGCCTTCTCTTCAGCTGCTTACAGGGCAAAAACATTATTAAATGTATCTAAATGTATCTTGCACAGAGTTCATTTTAAACAGAGATCAA